ATAGGCTGGCACTGACTACTGACTATTATACTGATAGTCAGTATAACAGCAACAACATAATGGTGATGCTGTTGCTGCTGCTGCTGCTTCTAACAATAATAATAATAATAATAATAATAATAGTAATAATATTCTATTGATAGCCAACATAACAACAACAACATCATGGTGAAGCTGCTGCTAATAATAATAATAAATAGGCTGGCATTTTGTTGATAGTATAACAACAACAACAACATAATGGTGATGCTGTTGCTGCTGCTGCTAACAATAATAATAATAATAATAATAATAGTAGTAGTAGTAGTAGTAGTAGTAATAGGCTGGCATTCTATTGATAGCCAACCTAACAACAACAACAACATAATGGTGATGATGATGGTCTGGCATCCTGTTGGTCAGTCCCTCCCAGCATAGACCCATTCACTCCATCGATGGATGGTCAGTCCAGATGTAGTTCAATTATTCCATTAGTTCAACGTGTCCACTCTTGTCCAAAATAACGACAGGATTTGGGCTAATAATAATAATAATAATAATAATAAATTTTGAAAGGAGGGGTCGGTGGCCACACTCTTTCTAATCCTGTAAAAACCAAAACCAAAACCAAAACCAAATCTGCGATATTAAGGCAGAATCCATTCCTCAGCCCAGACCCGCAAAGGGAGCGCTCCTTCGGAGCAAGTCCCATTGAGTTCAATGCGCCTTCCTCCCGGGATCTGGTCTGGAAAATGAAGGAAATGAAAGCTTCTTGCCCTCGGTTTCAAGCCCAAGTGGGTCTGGTTCCAATCCGGTCCTTGGGTTTCCTCCCTTCCCTGCCCTGAGGCTTGCTTCTTTCTGCTCCTCCTTGCAGCCATCCTTATTTGATCAGAGCTTTATAAAAGCAAGATACTGAAGTAATCCGGAACAGAGGAGAGTTCTTTAAATTATTAACCTTTCCTACTCCCTTCAAGAGAAGGAGGGAGGACTTTTTCCCCTCCCCTCTTCGGAAAAAAAAAAGCTAAAAAGTTCTTTTGGGGAGACTGGGATCTGGAGCCAAAGCAGCTCAAAATAATAATAATAATAATAATAATAATAATAATAATAATAATAATAATACTAATACTAATACTAATAATAATAATAATAATAATCCTGCCCCTCTGCAGAGCAATCGGAAAATAATTGGAAAATCACAATTCCAGGTGGTTTGGGTGTTTGTTTGTTTGTTTGTTTTTTAAACCTGCAAGTAAATGCTGGCAAAAGGATTTATGGTCTTGTAAAGGATCCTTTTTCCTATGAAAACTCTATGAAAGTCAAGGGGTCTCCATAAGTCGGCAGGCGACTTGAAGGCACACACACACACACACACACACACACACACACACACACAAACTTTAAGTCCACAAGCGATTTGGAAAAAAACACACACACACACACCGATTGTATCCCTGGATTTGCTGGAAAGACTTGCTGGCTGAGTATATTCCAGCAATCCCTGCTGGGAAAAAGTGAACCATTTCTATTTATTCCACGGATCCCTTTTTAAATATATATATATAAAACAATTCCTGGTGTATAATTCTGCGATCAGGGCGCTGGGTTGTGTGTAGGTGTATCTGAGTGTGTATCTGTGTGTGTGTGTGAGAGAGGGAAACGAAGACACCCAGACAGGCCTCCTTGGAAAGAGAGAGTGCAGCAATTTTGGGACTTTGAGAAAGGAAGAAGTTGGCAGCAGTCAAGGCCTCCTTGGAAAAGGGTTTTTCTCTTTATGCTTCCCAATCAATCCACTATACAGAATCCATTTCGATCTATGATCTATGATAATTTCGATCTGTGATCAGGTCTTTAGGCTTTTGATTTCAAGGCACCTGTTTCAAGGGCATTACAAATTCCCCTTGCTTGCAAAGATCTCTCTCTCTCGCTCTCTCTCTTCTGCAAAGCCTTGGGGGAAACACATACAGGAACACACACTTTAGGGACTTTTGGGGTCAACTTTTCTACAGCCAACGCAGAAGGGCCGGCGTCTAAGGGCTAGCCACCCCAATATGCTGGATTCCTTTATTCGGTATTGATAAAATGTAATATTCATAAAAACTCAAGCTTTATGAAATGTAATAAATAAGCCTATTCGTTGTTTGCTGTTGTGTGCCTTCAAGTTGTTTCCGATTTATGGCGACTCTATCGTTACTCTTTAGTGGAAGGAAGAAACCCCAAAACAGGTCACACTTCCCAACAGGAGCGAGGAAGGTGGCTTGTCAATAAGTTTTTCCTTGAACGCAACACAACGGCTATATATATATATATATATATATATATAT